ACTACTACTACTACTACTACTACTACTACTCTCTCTCTCTCTCTCTCTCTCTCTCTCTCTCTCTCTCTCTCTCTCTCTCTCTCTCTCTCTCCATTTGTGTTGTTTGGCTAAATCTTCTTCCTTGTGCTTGCATCAGAATGATGGATTGCTGCACACAACATGTGGGAGCCCAAATTACATTGCCCCTGAGGTGATTTCTACCACTTCCTTCCATTTCTGCTTTCTTCATATTCCTGGTGATGCCTGGCTTGACGAGTTCTTGTGCCAATGCCATCAGATCCTCTCGAACCGAGGTTACGACGGTGCGAGGTCCGATATCTGGTCTTGTGGTGTCATCCTCTATGTCATCCTCACCGGCTATCTTCCTTTCGACGACAGAAACCTCGCTGTTCTATATCAGAAGGTATGCACTCTGCACAAGGATGAAGTGGAGATCCTTATCGGTTGCTGGGCAGGGAGTGATATCTTCTTGCTTCTTGGCTTAGATCGTCAGGGGCGACACCAAGATCCCCAGGTGGCTCTCCCCGGGCGCTCAGAACATCCTGAGGAGGATTCTTGATCCAAATCCTGTAACTCGGATGAATGTGGCTGGGATCAAAGCAGACGACTGGTTCAAAGAGGACTACGCCCCGGTGTTCCCGAAAGATGATGACGACGACGGCGACGACAGTTATGGTGACTCCCTTCCTGTTAAAGAGGTAAAACAAGGACTATTTTGGAGAGGCTTTGATTGCTTTGAATCGGAGCTGATGTTTTGGATGTCTGCAGCAAAATGTGTCGGGCGAGAATGGAGCTTCACCTACACATATCAATGCGTTCCAGCTGATAGGAATGTCTTCATCGCTCGATCTTTCTGGCTTCTTCGAGAAAGAGGTAGGAAATGACAAATTGCCTCTTTCATTCAACTTGTAACGTGTTCATAGATATTGCTTATGGCCTTTTGCAGGATGTGTCCGAAAGGAAAATAAGGTTCACATCAGATCACTCACCAAAAGAGTTGTTGGAGAAGATTGTGGACATCGTCACAGAGATGGGGCTTCAGGTTCAGAAGGGGCATGGCAAGGTTGGTACCTCTAGATCTCCTGCCATAGCTTGGCACATTGGAATCACTACCAACTGTTCTTTTGTCATCTATTGGCAGCTGAAAGTAACGCAGAAGCAGGATCGGAGGAGCACGAAGAGCGCTGCGTCACTGTCTCTGGCTACAGAGGTAAAGCTTTCTTGCTGCTTGAGCTTTCGAGTAAATGAGATAAGATTATGATACCATGATTTTGATGAGATGTAGGTGTTCGAGCTCACTCCGTCTGTGTGTGTTGTGGAGCTGAGGAAGTCACAGGGTGATTCGTCGTTGTACAGGAAGGTAAGACGAGTCTGCTCTCCTAGGCAGTGACAGAGAGATCAAAGCTTATGCGGATGGCGGTGGTCTGCAGGTGTGTGCGAGGCTATCGGAGGATTTGGGGGCGAGCAAGGGAGAACAGCTTCTGGGGACGAAGAAGAGCTTGACGCCAGAGGCGAGCAGCTACACGTGACGCGCCTTTTTGTAGCATCAGGCGCACGAGATAGACGTGCTCGGAATATGCCCAATTGTACATAAACGAGCGACGTCGGAAGATGGTGGCGATTAGTGATTCCACACGGGCAGCTTCCCGTTTTCCTTGGCCGCGCGCGCCTCTTGCAGTGAACGAAGGAAAGAAATATGGGAGTTGAGAGTCACCGGACGACGACCGGAGGTATTGGTATTTTCATTTAACTGATAAGAAAACTGAGAAGCAAAGATCATCACCATCATCGACTGCTAGTTTATGCTGCTGCGCATGGGTGATAAGGCTATCTATCCTAAGTTTTGTACGCATATCGAATAAATAGATTACGTTTTGGCAACTACGTCGAATAAGATTCTCATGATGCAAAGTAAATAAAAAAGAGAGAAATATCAAAACACATCAAATATGATTGATTCCCTTAGTTATATCGACGACATTCATTTGAGTGGTTTGAGTCTGTGTTTGAACGAAGGCATCTTTCCATTAGGAAAGATGTATTCTCATAACAGCAGGGTGACATCTCGCCCTTGACTTCAGCCCTCACACCAGAAAAAGGGCAGAAGATTCCTGATTGACGTACCAGTATGCCGTCGGACCGGTATGTACCACTCGTCGATATCATTCGGTATTATCTATCTTGATATCTTTCAACTTAGTAACATAAAGGATAAAACCAAAGAAGATAATATACGAATTAAGATGACCAATAAAAGATGAATTATATAATTACTTGATTCAATGAAGGTAGACGACCTAATTGGCCTAACGAAACAATAAAGAGTAATCCATCCTGATTGATTTAAGCTTAAATTAGCATTTGTCTCCAACATTCATAGGCAATTGAAAACAACCAGCTGTCATCTAAATAAACATAGTTTATCTTTGTACAAAAACATTTTAAGAACTAAACCCTTGAAGTAAATCTCCAACCCGATCAAACACTCTACACAATAGGTATTTATCGTAAATCCAGGGCGGTATACATACATGGTAGCTATAGAACTGCAGACTGTAAACAAAAAGGACTTCCTTCTTTTGAAACAGAGAAGTAAATAAAACTTCTCCAAGGAAGAAGAACAAGATCAAACTTAGAAAGCATAATGACTACTCATCTTCTAGGTACTAACATGCCACTGTGGTGGCGAACGATATGAAAATACAACAGGTTCTGTTTGTGGAAAGAGAACAACAAAGAAGCTTGCTACATAAAGCAAACAACTATATACTAACACCACCTGGACGTTCGACTGTGGAACAAGTTATTGCATCGACAGGTTGCCAGTATAACTGTAGGGTAAAATGAAATCTGCATTTCGCAACCAACTGCATAGAGGAGCATACTTTTCCACCACCAGACAATAAAAGTTGGTATGATCATAATAGTCAACCTTTTTCTAGACATATTGCAACCTCCATTCTGGTTGATCATTTGTTTAGCCGGCTGCCACATGACGGCAAAGCTTTTGTCACCAAGAAAATTTGGAAATCGGATCCACAAAGCACGGAAGATGAGATTATACTATGTCCACCTGAATGTTTCAGGTATAATGTCCAAAGCACCCATGCGTATTGGCGTAGACTGCCACTGCATTACCGTGAGCTTATCCATCATCCTGTACCTTTATCATCCCATAAGATAACTAATTCCCATGCAAACTATATGACTGCTTATTAGTATCTGTCAATTTATGAGAGATCTAGCTAGCACCTTCAGAAGACTCTCCTTGGCCGGTACATATGTAATACTCGTATTGGTTGAAAGCATTCCTCGTAATTTCTGAAGTTTTTTATCAACTAATACTTACAGCAATGACATACTCTTATCGGGATCAACTTTCGCTTGACCTGAGTATACAACAATTAACCCGTAAGGAACAAAGGATACCTAGTTCCCTGAGTCCACTAAATTTAATCTGCTTTACCACGACAATCTATACCAATGTACTGTTCCACTTTGGGAAGATATCAATATGTTGTACTGGCACCCGCATCTGTATTCTTATCTGTATCAGGTAAATGGAAAGATAACGGCTGCCAACCCGATGGGTGAGGTGTAATCCACCTCTTGACACTAACTGTCACGTGCAATATCTGAAGAATTTCACCCAAAACAAGATGATTCAAACATGAATTTCTCACAATTATTGCTGCTTGATACCTGTATAAAATTAACGAGTTGTATCATGAATGCAAGAACGCAAATTAAACAACAGCCTTCAATAAAAATGTTACCTGCATTGTGATGTCATCATTGAAGCACGTCCAGCTGTCGAAGAGAGAAACCTTAGAACTGCATCCCATGTTGCCTTTGGATGCTTAGCATTAATATCAATAGGATTGATACATTTCCAGAGTACATCATTTTTTTCTACATAGAATGGTAAATTACCTCCTAGCTTGTGCATCACAAGAAGTTGATGATGAACCGCATAGCTCAAGGCCATGCCAATGTTAAAATTCTGAATATTCATCTCGCCATAGCGAATACAATCAGCTATGTTTGCTTCATTTGGGACCATTTTGTCAGTTTTTAATATGCGCAGAGCACACAAAACATTCTGGACTTCAGTTGGTACTGACAGGCATCCTGGCTTACCCCACAACTCATCTTTAGACAAGTTGCTGTCCCTGGTGTTTGTAGGTTGTCTGTGCACATGTTCCTCATAAGTTGTTTGGTAACTCTGTGGACCATAATGATCTGATACAGAAATGTTTGGTTTAGGGTTACTCTTAAAAGATGAACTGTTATGATGACCACCACTAGGATCATCTGATATGCTAACTCTGCTGAATTCAGGTAAGTTTCCTGATGAGAAGGGTGGGCCACCTATCCAGCTCTGTGGTGAAGTGAATGCTGCACCACTAGGCCTATATGGAATTGCATTAAGATTATACTTTTGAGAATTTGATGAAGACAAATTCCCAGGTCGAGTACTAGGCTGTGGAGGTAGTAAATCACTAGGTCTTAATGGGTGAGGCCAGCGTGATTTGTCATTGTTAGAAAAGTCTTTTCCATCTTTCATGGAGAAATATGGATGAGGTGGTGCATAATCTGCCACAGCCCCATTTGAAGACTTGGGTTGATTCCCTTGAAAGAATCGATGCGGAGCTTCCTTGAAAGATACTGCTTCAGATTGGCAAGAGTAGTTGGCTTCAGAAGGTAGCATTTGATGTGGTAACTGGGTGAAAAAATTAGTAGCATGGTTCAAGTAGGAACTTTCCTGGGCTTTCATATTTGGCATTGTTGGAATATGCATTTGATCAGTATTTTTCATGCTGTTGTTAAATTGGGGAACGTTACTGTTAGTTAGAATATCATGACTTACAGGAGGAGGCTGCATGAATGTGTTGCCTGATATTGTTGTTAAATCACTATTTGGCTGGATTGGATTTGGACATCTCTTGGACTTTCCTTTGCACCAATTATCAGATTTTCCTGCAGGACTGCCACTGAGTGATGCTTCAGTCAACGAAGTACCACCTGATGTCTTGCTGATATAAGGTGATTCATGCAATGGCTTTCCTCCAGACACAAGGTCCTTCCAGTTCCAGACACTCTTTGCAGCAGCAACAAGGGCTTGTGATACATTTGGTGGTTGTGCAAGAAGAATATTGTATCTCCTCAATCCAAGTTGATGGAGGGCATTTGAGAAGTCACGATCGCCAGATATTAACAAGTAGTTGGCAGGTGGAGGATTATCAACTGCCCAAAATAGCATGTCTACCAAAATCTTCTTATCACTTGCATCTTTGACACCTGCATAGCATTTATCAAAATGAGGTATGAGAAAACATATGTAGAACTAGAAAGAGGATGGTATCACAGTAAAAAAAAAAAGAAGAAAAAGCCATCTCTAAACAAACATCTCCGCAAGTATGTTAATTAGAAATATCTACTACGAATATCTTGATCTATGTATTTTTCAACCAAAATGGCATGGCGTCGCATCCAATTTTGATTTAATTGTTGAAATTTAGTACCCAAATTTGACTTCCATAATTCATCATGACAGACCAAAGAAAACAGTAGCATATTTGCAAAATATCAGACACCAATGAACCCTGAAATCAGCTGCAATTTACATTAAAGACACAAAATAAGTAAACCTTAGCTCAAACCCTTTGTAGAGCGACGATGGTTGGGATGAAGGTCATGCAACTACTACCCAAATTTGGAAGCTTTTCTCGAGTATCATATATCAAGTTATGTATTAACCCAGGTGACCTCCAGGAAGCCCTCCAACATCTCTGATAAGAGATGCTCCCTATATTAACAATAAAATTTGTAGCACAACATATCTAAAAGAAAATTGTTTCCAAGTGATTGATTATTACTCTTTTCCCTTCACTATTCATACAGTACAATTTCCAAGTCTCACCCTCTAGCCAGGTTCTTGAACTTTCCTTCACCATGAACATGAACATGTATAAAAGAAATGAGAATGCTTTCCTAAGAACACATTTCTTTTTTCCAACCAACCATATCCCATAGGGCAACAAATTCAAATATTTTCAAATAGTAGTGCAGCTTTTCAGTCATGAACTGCAGGTAAAGCACATGAGTTATGAATTTCACACACAAATGCTTCAAGTGTAATAGGAAAGAGGAAGCTGAATATTTTATGACAATCATGAGCAGCTCAAGTATGTAAATATATAGTCTTGGATCATATCAGTCGAATAATGCTAATTTGCAATAATCCTTGTTCCATAAACTAAATAAAAATTCGATCTAAACATGTTTTTATTTAATAGACTCAAACTTTGATGTAAAGCTAAACTGCCAACTACGTCAGCAACTTATTACTAAAAGCTACCAAGCATCCAGAGAGAGACTTGCACCTTCTCGGCTAACATACCATAGCATCAAAAAGGCACACAGAATGCCTGTGGTAGAGCACCTTTCTAGAGCTAATCACAAAAAGGGCTCACCCTATATAGTCCTGTGCATATTTTTCTTCAATTTCTACTTCTAATTTTTCAACTATCTAGTTAAGTAATACACATTAGATTTATTTTAAAAGATCATTCATTGAGAAAGAAACACAGGCCCACTTTTACTTTTGCACTCCTCTTCTTTTCTTTTACCTTCTGTCCAGTACTATTGAGTAATACACGTTTTTCTTCAATTTCTACTTCTAATTTTCAATTATATAGTTGAGTAATACGCATTAGATTTATTTTAAAAGATCATTCATTGAGAAAAAAACACAGGCCCACTTTTACTTTTTCACTCCTCTTCTTTTCTTTTACATTCTGTCCAGTACTATTGAGCAATACACATTTTTCTTCAATTTATACTTCTAATTTTTCAACTATCTAGTTAAGTAATACGCAATAGATTTAATTTAAAAGATCATTCATTGAGAAAGAAAGACGGGCCCACTTTTACTTTTTTTCTCTTCCTTCTGTCCACTACTATTGATGTGTGCTTATCTTCCTCTCCATTTTACTTCTTATATATATATATATATATATATATATATATATATATATATATATATATATATATATATATATATATATATATATATATATATATATATATATATAT